AGGGCGGGAGAGGCACCTCTGGAGGCCACATCCCAGTGACACTTCTGGGCCCTGCTTCCCCAGCTGGTGGAGCAGGACCGAGGTTTAGGGTGGACTCTGCGCCCCGGCAGCCCGGGCCTTGGGGTGGCTACACCGCCTCTGTGGTAGAGGCTCTGCACTGTCAGAGGGACCGTGAGTGCGCTTGATGGCCACCGCCCAGACACGTGCAGCCAGGCCCGGCGCGGAGGGGAGGCGCGGGAGGGGCTCTGCCGCCGTGGAGGGCCGCTGACGTTTCCGTGTCTCAGGATCTTCCTCTTGAAAGCGGGAAACAGGAACATCCATCTCAAAGGCTACCAGGAGGATGACTTGAGGGGCTCAGCCCAGCGCAGCCAGGACGCATTCGGTCAGTGGCCCCAGCTAGGAATTCAGCCCCTCCCGCCTCTGCCAGGCAGGGACACCCGTCCTCGTGGGCCCTGGTGGGGGCTCAGGCAGGCTGGCCTCTTCCAGGACATAAACTTGATGCTTCTAAGGCCTGGGCAGCCTGCTGGCCCCACGGGAGACCAAACGACACCCAGGCTGAGGGGTGGGCTGGGCAGGGGAGGGCAGCCAGCACCTCCGCAGAGAGGGTCCCAGGACCCTCTGCTACGCAAGAGCAGCTGCCGGCCTTGCTGCCTTCCTTAGAGCTGGTGAGGAATTTTGCAGGCCACCGCCTACCCTCCACCTCGGGCCACTCGGGGTAGAGGCAGCAGGGGCATGCCCCAGGCTAAGTGTGGGGCCTCAGAGTCCAAGGCCCCTCACAGCCTCAACACACCCCAGGCCCTCCATGCCCAGGTTGACCTCCAGATGGGGGAGCTCAGAGCTACCTGGGAGGGCTCTGAGGGCTCCACCCCCTCCTCCTGGCAGAGAGCAGGTGGCGAGGGGTTCAGGTGGGGGGGGGTCCCTGAGCACAGGGTGTCCCATATGTGTGGCCTGGGACAAGTTACCAGGAGAGGGTGGCTTTAGGATACTCGTGCCCTGGAGAAACCTGTCAGCCCAGTCCAGAGGCCTGGGGGAGCCACGCATCTTTGGGGTGGCCAGGGAACTGGGGACACGCTGTGGACACCATCGCTCCTGAGCCGCCCCCTCCCCCTGCTCTGACCCCGCCTGTGGCCCCACCTTCTCTGGGATCACTCTTCCTTCTCGCCCCAAGCTCCGGGTGCAGACGGTCCTCTGTGCTCACAGGAGGAAGCACCCCCTCCCAGAGGGCACACTGGCAAGGCACACGCCATCCAAGTTCACAAGCAACCTGGGAAGGTGCCCTCCGAGGGGTGGGCCGGGCCAAGCCCGGTGGCTGCCTGGGGACACTGTGAAATCAGGAACAGCAAGCACTACTGCGGGGCACGAGCAGTGCTGAGGGCTCTAAGGCATGTCTCACTGACTGTCCTCCATGCGAGACCGTACCCCTCGTCCCTGTCTCATGGGGCAGGACGGGTCTGTCGGAATCCAAAGGCTGCGCCTTGCTACACTGGAAGGTGGAAAACACATTTTAAATCAGCCTGAGGCAATTCCGGGCACAAGGCTGTCTCTTTTATGTGTGAATGTGTTTAGAGAACTGTTACCTTGCTGGCTGGAATGCTTTTGCCGCCTTAGTTACACCGGAACCCTCGTCCCCCACCGGGTGACCGGGTCTTCTCACTTACCTGTGCAGGGCGCCTTAGACTTTACAAAGCACTTGCCTGTATGTTAGCTTATTTTAAATCTCCAGCACAACCCAGGGAGTATTTTCTTTTCTTAATGTCACATTTCTTTATTGTTCAGAAGCAAAGTCAACCTGGTTCTGCGGCAGCCCTGACAAAGCCAGCCAGGAGAGCAGAGCCATCGGGCTCCACAGCCGCCTGCCCCTGCTGGGATCCTGCCAGAGCCCCTCAGCTAATGCAGCTGGGGAAACTCAGGGCGCGGCCTCCCTGTCGCTGTGCCACCCTCCTTGCCTCTCCTGTGGCGTGGCTCTGGAGTCCTGCACAGCTGTTGTAGGCAGAGGAGGCAGCAGTGTGTGTCCAGAGTGCCCCTTGGACCCCGGGGGCACTGGGGAGCCCCACATGTCAGCATGATGGTAAGAGCGGCACGGCCAGCACCCCACCGCCTGGGACCCTCTGACCCCAGCCCCTCCAGGCCCAGGTGTCCTCAGCACACCTACGTCCCCTTCCCCAAACACACCCCCCAGAATATCGGGACCCCCTGTTACTAGTGAGGAGATTATGGCTCAGAGGGGCCAGGACACAGCCATGGTGTCCCTGACTCTGCACCCCGTCCTGCCCTAAGCACAGCCACCCCAGGCGGGCAGGGGAGGGTTGGGGGCTACAGGAGCCTGAGAAGCAGCAGGGGCCGGGGGGTATCCCACATACACCTTTGCCACCATCGGCGTCGTGCAAACACGCAGCCCCCGCCGCCCGCCACCCCTACCATCGTTGTTGGTGTCCATCTGCCTGAAGATCTTGTCCGTTCTCTTCTCCGGAGTGGACTCGTCCTCCGGCATCTTCATCACCGAGGACACCATTTTGTAAATGGCCTGCAAAGGAGAGCACAGGGCGCACGCTCAGAAACCTCGATGCTCCTGGGGCGACAGGCAAGGGTGGGAGTTTCCCAGCAGCCCACAGCAAGGCCCAAGGGCTCAGGATGCTCACAGTGGCCCTCGGGACCCTTCCCAGTGGGAAGAACGTTCCCTGCCCCTCGAAACCACACTGACAACCCTCGCAGTTGGAACACTGAGTGAGGGAAGATGGCCACGTCCACGTGGAGTTCGGGAGCAGGCAGAACGGCTCCACGGTGATGGCGGTGACAGTGGGGGGACCTCTGCCTGGAAGGGCGGGGTGGGAAGGTGCCAGGGAGGCATCGAGGGGCCTCTGGGGGACTGGGAATGCTCTGAGTGAGGGTGGTGGTCCCACGGGCAGGTACGTGTAAAATTCACGACGCTGTCCACTGCCCACTTAGCTGTGTGCGTTTCGCCATGTGGCTCTTACACTTTAATTAACAAAAAATACCGAGCCCCTGAAAGTCATCGGGAGCCACACCACCGGCCTCTTCTCTGTCGGGCACTGCCTGGCACGACTGCTGGCCTCGCTGTGTGTCTCTGCCCAAGTGGCCCAGCCTGGGCAGGTGTCCCCGTGCTGGTGGTGGGCGCATGTGTGTGCTTCGGGGGGACAGTGATGAGACCGGCGATCGGCAGCGGATCAGAGCAACATGCCAGGGGCAGGGCAGTGCCGCCATGGGGTTTTCTGAGTACCCCGTGCGGAAGTGGCTTGATGGATACATATGCTCATTCCTAAAACAACATGCCAAGAATGGCTCTTATATCTTAAAAGCAAAGCATTTAAAAAATAAGAATAATCCTAAGGCTTGTGATATGTATTATACTCTCCTCATCTCCATTTTTGGGGCAGGCCTGGCCAGGCCTGGTCCCAGCTCCCATCAGCCTCACACCATGAGCAGCATGTGTTTCAGGACATTTTCCTGGGACTTGCCCATGCGGCTTGCCCAGGGGCAAAGCCAAATGCAAAGTCGAGACCTCCTCAAGGTCTTCTGGGGGGCTTTTTGGGTACTTGCCATACTAATCCATTTTGGGGAGGGTGTAGCAACCAGGCATCCCATGAGAAGCACCACCCAGCCAGCCAGGGAGCCGCCAGACAGCACTCAGGGAGGGCTTTCAGGCTCTAGGGACTTGGTCTGGGGGCCTAAAAGCCAGATCCCATTTGGACGAGAGCGGCTCCTCACTGCACTGCACGGTTCTACCGGTGCCTCTAAGTTTTGGCCAATCTGCCCATCCATGACAGGCACACCCATTCCCAAAGGGAAGGGTTAACACGTGGGCTAGGATGCTAGGATAGGTGATTCCCACGAAACAGAATTCTGACTTCCACACTGCTTACAGCTAAGAGCCAGAAGTGATGACTGAACCGGAGTTCCCCAAGCCCGAGCTCATTTACTCTGACGGTGTAAAAACCATCTATCTAGGGAATGGGTTGGTTGCCCCAGAGGCCAGCCGCTGCTAGTGTAGGAGTTCACGGATTTAATGCCCACTGCTGGAGGCTTAGCCCTGAAGTTGCCTACAAATGGGCTTGCCTCTTCCGAGGAATTCTAGAAGCCCCCCAGGCTCAGGGAGAGAGGCAGGGGGAGAGGCCAGGGAGGGGCAGCTCTACTCTGTGTGGCACACCTAGGCCCTGGCCAAGTGATGAAACGTGGCTTCTTTCTGGAAGACAGCCTCGTCTGTTTGAGCTGCTGACAGGCACGAAGGCAAGGAGAGAGGCCTCCTAAAGTGGTGTCCCTCCTGTGTGGAGTGAGCACTGACGCTCCAGCTCAACCGTGTAATGCACGTTCCTGGGGACACGATGAGCTGTATGTTGCCTTCTCAAATACTGGGCTTTCCCAAGGTCTTGGCAGGCACCTCCTGCAAGTGCCAAGGGTCCCAGCAATTATGTAATTCTCAGGAATTCACGTCTCTGAGCCTCATGTTGTGTGAAATGTGGGGAATGACCCGTATCATAGGGCTGAAGGATGAAAACCGATCAGAGTGCCCAGCCAGCCTGGGGTATGGCAAGCGATCAATAAGTGTCACCTTTATCATTGCTCTTTGCAAGACTCTGCCCAGTCAGGGGACACCTGCTCCCTTCCAAAAGTGCACCAGGTAGCAGCCTGGCTGGGAAGCTCTGGATGTCGCGTACGGAACTGGGGGTGGGCGTGGCCGGCGGTACCTGCACGATCTCCAGCATCTCGCTGCGGCTGATGTAGCCGTTGCCGTCCAGGTCGTACATGCTGAAGGCCCACTTGAGCTTCTGCTCCAGCTTGCCCCGCGAGGTCACGCTCAGCGCGATGATGAACTCCCGGAAGTCGATGGTGCCGTCGCCGTTGGTGTCGAAGGTGCGGAAGACGTGCTCGGCGAACTTGGAGGCGTCGCCGTAGGGGAAGAAGTTGGCGTAGATCTTCTTGAACTCGTCCACGGTCAGGTGGCCGGTGGGGCAGTCCTTGAGGAAGCCCTTGTACCACTCCTGCAGCTCGTGGTCGGTGAACTCCGTGTTCTCCCGCAGGTCCTGCAGCACCTCGGGCCGCAGCTTGCTGTTCTGCTTGCCCATGGCGGCTGGTGGTGGGGACTACACCTGCAAGACAGTGGGGTCAGTTGGGGACAGCGGGGGGCCCAGGGTCCTAAAGCCACTGAAGCCAAGGAGCAGGGCCGAGCAATGGCCCCTGCGTGTCCTGTGCCCAGGGCTGGAGAGACCACACCCACTCACCACGTGCAAGCGCCGGGCTCCAGCACATCTGCGATCCTGCAGCAACCCCTGGCGGAAGGTGTGGCGTTATTTTATGTACCACTCCTAAGAAAACCGAGACACTCCACTTAAATCAGGACGAGACAGATTCCGACTTTGAGAACGGGGAAATGTGAACAAGATGCAACTTAAAATCAACAGAATGAGGTACTGCCAAGTGCCCGGTGGGATTGCACGAGATGCTGGGATTAAAACCCACCCAGCCTCACCACGCTCACCAGCTCGGGCAAAGGGCCACATCGGCCACACCCCAGGCCCTTAGTTCAGGGCAGTTCTTTTCTCTTTTGGGCACCACATTACGTTTCTATCCTTAGAAGAGGTGTCCAGAAACTGTTAGGGTGCCCTCCTCCCTTTATGTTGCCTTTAATAAACTGCCCTGGGTGGGAGGAGGATCTGAAATCAGTGCTGGGCAGTAAGCGATGTCCCGAATGCCAACAGGAAAAAATGGGCAGTTCTCCGCGAGGCCCGTGAGTCACAGTGACCCTGGGGCACTTTACAAACGCCCGTCGCTTTACCCATAGTCCCACTTCTAGGAACTTTAGATCTAAAGACACCCCCACCTGTGCAAATAACTGTGTAGCCACTGCCACGTCGTCTGTGAAACCAAGGGCCCAGATGCCCAGCATCACGTACTGGTAAGAAATAATCCTCAAGATGTATTTTCAGTGAACAAGAAGGTGCGAACAGAGTTTGCTGCCATTTATGAAAAGAGAGAGAACTGCGCATGGGTGTGCGTTCGTGCCTC